AATTGGGGACTGCGGATAATCGGATAATTGAAAAGTCGGATAACCGAAAAGTATGAAAAAATCCATTATTAGTGTAGTATATTATTATATCCCATGTAATTAGTATATCGCTATTAATCTACTTCGTGTTGAATTTTCATCGATGTTAAGCCTAACAAAAATTTTTTTTAATAATAATTGTCGCTATTGTATCGTTAAAAATTAGAAAATTAAGCCTCGTTTAAATACTGGCTCCCTTTCATGGTCGAATGAGTGTTGCCAGCTAAAACACGTAAAAATAATATTAAACTAGCTGAGACATAGCCAAATATTGTAGCGCCACATCACTAGCGGACATTTGAAATTTGCAGACTAGGACGGTCGGTTAACCGAGGTGGCGGTTAATCGGGGGTCGGATAATCGAGGCTCTACTATAACATGCAAATTTATTTCAAGGAACAATCACTCAATATAGAGGTTTAGATCCCATAGAGATACTAGAAATACCCAAAATACACATTAAAGAGTGAGGGGAAACTACACTATCTAAATACACACATACAGTAGGAGTGTGTGTATTTAGATAGTGTAGGGTATGTGGACTAAAGCAATAGAGGAAAGAGAAAGGGAAGAGCAAAGATGAGTGCTTAAAAAGAAGGATAGGCAGGGTCAGACCCTCAGATGTGCGACAATTCTTGAACGAATAAGTGTGTACGTGAGCTGATCTATGTAATTATAAATTGTGAATACAAGTGACTAATATTATTTTTTTATTTATTTTGGGCAAGTTATAAGTTATAAATAAATATAAACAAACAACACCAACCCAATAACATTAAATCTAAATAACAAAATGATTAATTTACTGTGTTTTTGTTATTTCTTACTCCTGTTTTTAGGTATTCGTTATTTGGCTGAATAGCGAAACATAGGCCGAATACCGAATAGTAACCAAATATTCGTTACATCACTACCACTAATGATAAAAATTGACTCTTCTTGGCACTCTACCAACAGTGGTTCTCTAATCCATTGAGTGGACTATATGACATTAGGCAACCCTTTTCAGAAGGCAATGTAAAACTAAATTCAAAATTTAACAACTTCAAATTGCAGGTCAAATTATTTAAATTTTGAGTAATTAAAAATAAAAAAAGTTTTATTTAACTTTTAAAGCTATATGAAAAAAATATCAATAAACTAAGTGAAAATAATAATGTGATTATAATAGAAACAAATTTCATTTAATGGGAAATCTGCTATTATTTATTTGATGATAATTTTTATAGCCAAGGCTTATGATTAGTGGCCATTAAAGCCATAGTCACACCTTGCAATTTATAGTTGTACAGACAACCACAATAACAATTCCTGATAACTAGTAAACTCCTCCAAAACCTGCACACCTACAACTACAACTGCACCTAACTTTGAAACAAAGTTTGTTATATTCATGCCAATAGCAAACATGCATTCAATAGGCAAATGCCTTTGTGCCACATCATATGGTGGCACATTTGAAAATAGTTATCATCATGGCAGCAAGTGAGAACAACAGTGCAGCTTTAGAATAGAGATTGATCAAGCTGATTTAAGCTCACAAAATGCCTGTGGAATTTTAATTCTTTGTTTTATTAAAAAAGAAATAAAAGAGCACAGGCAAGACATGAGATAAGCATAAGTCTTGTCATTGACTATCATTTTTAGATTTGTGGATATAAAATATTGATTGTTTTTAGTTCAGTAATGACATTACTATTTTAAATATAGCTGAAGAACTAAGTAAAAAGTACTATCATTTAAAAACACCATTCCTTTGCATAAAAACAAAGTAGAAGATAGCGGGTGAAGTGGATATGAAGATGACATTGGTTTATTATAAGATCACTCATGCCCTGAAATTGTAACATGGGTCTCACAGGTTCACCATCACTACTTTAGGAATTCAGTGGGCCTGACACCCCTAACCTACAAGCATTGTTACCCAAACCTATTATGTTGCCTGTTATTTTCCCAATCATTCCTTTCTTCATTCTCTATTCTCCCCATTTGTTTTGTTTGCATTGTCGCCTTTAACACCAGCTGCACATAATACACATACCATCTGCCACTTTGTCTCCACTGCCATGAACAAGTTGTCTTCAATCTTCTGCTGTCAACAACAGATATGCTAGAGTTTCAAAGCACATTTGGCTCAGCTTCCTGCTCATCAGTAATTAACCAATTCAACTATTATAAAAACAGTATAAACAGTATTATAATTTTTAGATTTGAATGTTTTTAGTCTATAGACCAGTATCAGGAATAACCAATTCACAAGTTACTGTAATTATCAAAACTTTGGTTCAAACTGGAAAGAGACATTTCTTGAAAACAGGTAGATTGCAGGAATCCCAAAAAATTTAGCCCTGAATTTAAAAATCCAGCTTCACATAACAAAAACTGCCCTTCTGGATATTCTTAAGTCATTCCAGTATGTAATAAAAGAAACTTCTTCACCTTTTTTAAAAGTTTATTGATCACTGCTAGACTAAGTAACCCTAATCAATATCACAATAGAAAACCCAAATAGTTTTTCTTTTACACTTAGAAGATTGAAATCCAGAAAGTATTTTTGTCCTGGAAGGAAAGCATTCATTAATTACTGTGTACAAATTGAAAAAATAACCTGTAAGCTCATTGAAAATATTTTCTTCAAGATTACAATCAGATTCAAGAAAATCATTGAGAATTAAACAATTCAATTTATTTTGTTCTATAAACAATATCTAAAATTGTAATTTGTGCAGCAATAACAAAATTCTGTCTTTTGCCTTAAAAATATTTAAATATTTCTTGTGAAACATAACTGACATTTTTTCATCAATTTCCAATTATTTTTATTTTGTTATTAATGGAAAGTTTATTGTAAATTAAATTTTAGTTAGAACTGACATTTATTTTGAATAAAATGGTACCTAAATGAAGAACACTTATGGGTAGACAAGAAAGAAACAAAACCAGAGATGATGAATATTTTCAGAACCCAGAATTTCCTCAAAAATTATTACACATTACCACACAAAATAAAATAATAACTTAGTATATTACTTATTGATTTATTCATAAGTAGTTTAGAAAATTCAAATTAAATCATGTAGCCTGAGTTTTCTCAGCAGTCTTAGCCAAAGTAGCTATGAGACAATTAGAAATGATTTTTTCATAGGTTCCTCAATTGCATATCCCATATTTTGGTTCAGGTGTGTAGATGATGATAGAGCAGTATGACAGCTGATTTCAATACCTTCTTTAGCCACATCAACATTTTCCCAATCCATAAAATTTTTCCTGGAAGCACTGAATGTCATGACAGTCACATTCTTTGATCTTTTGACATATATGCTCAATAATACATTTGTCTTTCATGTTACAGTCCAACCAACCTAGGAAGGAGTTTCCCCTTAGGCTTTGGACCAGTGGCGTGCTGTGACATTTGATGATAGGGAAGCTGTGTTTCTGTAAGAAGCCGACATCCANATAGAAAGTGGACTGTTATATTACTCTTTTGTTATAATTTCAGATGTAGTATGTACTGTACATATAAGTTGTTGATAGAACTGACAAAATTATTTGTGCAGTTATGACTTTGATGCTTTGAATAAGATTTGTATCTTAAAAGTTGGATTTTCTTTCAGCAATTAGGATGATTAAAGTTTTGCAGTAGCTATTGCAAATGATGTGGAGACAAGTATCTAATGAAAACAGCAGGCTTTACCATCACTTCAAATCATTACATCAACATTCTCTGACATCCCAAGTTATTTCACAAGCCAATGTACAAAAACAATTGTTTAGTTACTTTATAGATGCAAGAAAGAGGTTGATAATGATGATGACTTTGTCCCAAATGGCATCTGTTATAGAGCCACTAATAGAATAATATAGACAAGTCATGGACTACATCTAGTGACAAACTCAAGCAGTTTTGTCACTAGAAAAGACAGCGTACAAAGCTAGCACAACATTTAATTATAAGAAGCAGATTATTACAGTAGATTCTATTGTAAAAAACACAACTGTTTTTTAAACTAAATTTTGGATTTTTAAAAAAATTATATTGACATTTAGAATGATTTATCACTTATTTTAATGTGTCATATTACTATTTTTTGCATAGTATATGTGTTATATATGTAAATAAAAAATAGTGCAGACTACATTTAACCTGTCCTACATTGTTCCCGAAAATATTCGTGTTGACCTGCGTGGGCAATCTCGAATATTTTCGTGTTTACATCGGAACATTTTTGATGCTAGATGTCGCTATGCATCACAATTTTTATATTAAAACAAACTTTTAAAATATAATTTTTTTTTTTTGTTTCCTTATTATTCAATATATTTATTTTGTTTGTGCAACAAAAAAAATTTTAACGATACAGTAAACACAATTATTATTTAAAAAGAAAAAATTTTTAGGCTTAACATCCACGAAAATTCAACATGGCGTCACAGGCAACAAATAAAAATTTCAACATCAAATAGGTTAAAGGTCATTTTGTAAAACTGTTCTTGAGAGAACATCTTTTTATAACAGTTCCTTTGGTCTCACAAGTGTTCATTATAGAGAGGTTTCACTGTACGTATATTCCATTATATTATTCTTTATTCCTAATGGAGCAAAGAGTAAAATGGATTATATTATTATTATTTATTCTTATGGAATTTTACATATCAGAATTGTCCTTTTTTTTTTTATCAATGTATTTTACTTTAGTATGTAAATTAGTTTACTCAAGAATAATAATTTAAATTTGTTTATTAATAGTGTTTGAAAGTATAATGCATGAATGCAAAATCAGTAATAACTTTTTATAAAATAATAAATTTTAAAGATAAGCACACTATTGAGAATTGGAAAATAAAGATACATGAATTTTATCATTTTAGATGTCATTGAAAGATGGAGTAAGTGCAATTTATTAATATTTGATTTTGATTCCAGTTTTGCTCTTCTGGCTGGAATGAAATAAAACAATTACAGTAGAGTCCTGATTAACCAAGACCCTGTTACTGATTCTGCAGTATCCAAGATGAAATGTGGAAGAGTACTTTGTCAGTAAAGACAAGAGTTTAATACAGTACAGTTTGTTTCATGAATCTTGGCCAGATGATGCACAGTATTCAAAAGGAACTCGAAGTTTTGAAAAGAATTTACTCTGGTGATTTCTCATGACAATAACAATTTTAAAAATCATTAAAAAATTTTAATTGTAATCATAGGTTTGCATATGCTTTAATAAATAACAGCTGTAAATAAAGTTAAGTGTTCTATTGTATAATTTCTCATTATGTTCTATAAGTAGGTTTAATTTAAAAATAGAATACATTGTATACATTAATGTACCAGAATTCAGTTTAATTAATGATATACTAAACAATATGTTATCTGAACTTTTGATTATCTAAGTTACTTTTTGGGTCTGCATAATCTTGGATAATCAGGACTCTGCTGTTAAATACAGCAGATTGACTATTAAAGCAATGTCCCTTTGAGAAAGTTGGAACATGTTTTTATCATTCTAGTATAAGTTAGAAGCTGATTATTTAATACTGGTGAGCAATTGAAAAGTTTACTTGTGAGTAGTCAAACTAGAAGTTAGGAGATATTGAAGTTATACTTGATTCTTCTCTGTTACACATTGTGAAAAACACTTAAATCTAGAAACATTTATTTACTACAAATGTAATATAACAACATGTAAAACTCTACATTCATAAAAAAAAATTCATGGGCACCCTTTATAAAATTTTTTTAAAATTAATGTAGCATTATGAAGAGAAGTGTAACATAGCTCAGACCTTGAGACCTTAAAGATTTCATGGAACTTAAGTTTTCTTTAGATACATTTTTGTTTATAACTTGCTCTGTTCTGTTTATAACTCTGATGAAAATGCTCTGTTCTGTAATGTAAATCATTCTTGGTTATTGTAATTTACAGTATGTAATTTAGATAAATAAACAGTGAGCTAATAGTGACATGAAAAGTCAGTCAGATGGACACTGGCTCAGTATTATCAAGTCTTATGGGTGATGAGTCTGTTGGTAATGGTGCCAAATTCAGTGTTCGTATTTTTCAGTTGTCTATAGCATGAGGTCTCCAAACATTTTTGGCTCTTGATTTCTTCAAGGATTCCTTAAACTTTTATCTATCTGTCTGCTGTTTTTGCTAATACAGTTGCTATAATAACAATAACAATAGTCTTGCTAGTCATCACTTTATCAAGATGAGATTGATTGTTATTTCCAGTAAACCATAGAACTGGTGGGAGCTTAAGCTTCGTAGGGCCATCCATGACAGTAAGGTCTATGAGGAGAAATGAAGCAAAGAAGGATCCAAAAACTGTGATTCAGAGTGAGCAGCTGCTAAATAGCATCTAATCCTAATGTTAGGGGTGACTGATTTATAATTACAGTGGAACCTCGGTATACGACCTTAATCCATTCCTTATGCTTGGACTTATATCGAATAGGACGTATACCAAACCAACCTTTCCTATAAGAAGTAATGTAAAAATGATTAATTTGTTCTCACATAAAAAAAAATGGCTGGCTTTAACCTGTCCTACGTTGATCCCGAAAATATTTGTGTTGACCTCATTGACCTGCGTGGGCAATCCCAAATATTTCCGTGTTTACATTGGAACGTTTTTGATACTAGATGTTGCTTTGCATCACAATTTTTATATTAAAATGAACTTTTAAAATAAAATTTTTTTCGTTTTTATATTATTCAATATATATATTGTTTGTCAAACATAAAAAAATAATTTTTTACGAACAGTAAACACTATTATTTAAAAAAAAATTTAGGCTTAACATCAACGAAAATTCAACATGGTGTCACATGCAACAAATAAAAATTTCAACATCGAATAGATTAAACACCTCGCTTTCCTGGCTAGTTCTTGCTTGATTTTTTGTGAGATCAGCTTGTATTTTTTTAGCTTTCTCGCAAATAATTGTTTCTGATACGCTGTCTCCAGCACACTGTTTTTCAGTTATCCAAAGCAAAAGCATTTTCTCAACATGATTTAATGTCTTCGATCTCTGTTTAGAAATTGATTTAACCCCTTTTGCAATGTTAGCAGATTTAATAATGTCTTTATTTTTCACAATTGTCGATATCGTCGTTCTCAGAATACTGTATATAACAGTTAAAATCTCGAACACGCATGCCATCTTCATATTTCTCAACAATCTCTTTTATCAGTTCCATTGTAATTCTAGTCATTTTTTTAGTTTTCTGTTGCTTTTCATTTGCCTTTTTGCAATTCATGATTAATAAAAATAATAAAATTTTACTTACAAATTAAAATCAGAAGAAATTTAACAAAGTTATAAACCATGGCACTGTGAACGTCTAGTCTGGTCTAGTATACCAATAGTGCTACTTGTTCATAGATGGCGCGTATAATTAAGTCGTATACCGAGCAAAATTTGTTTAGTCCAAACAGGATGTATTCTGAATTGGACGTATTCTAAAGCAGACATATACCGAGGTACCACTATACTTGGTTTTAGGTTTATAAGCAGACCCACTTCTGTGAAGTAAACATAAACAATAGTTACATGTTCATAGCATATCAGCTTGGACATCATCTGGGTGAAAATGGATAACACACACCAACCCAGCCAAAGTGTTTTAGTTTTAATCTAACCATTGACCACTAAGGCTGGAAAACCATGGAAACAGATGACCAAATGAATAAATTCATTATTTGTATCTACTAGTGATGGGATGATACCAAAATTTCTCTCAATTTCAATTCTTTTAAATACTTTGTAAAGTTTATCTTAGTTTATAAAAATTAATGATTTACATTATGAGCACAGTACATTCATTGATTGATAAACATTAAACTTAAGAATGGAAAATGATCAGGAAGTCCAGAATCAATCTTTTGAAAAAATGCAAAAATTCTCCATTTATATGTGGATATACATGCTTTTATTGTATACTATAAAATAAATTCGTAATTTTATTTTGGATAAAGTTAATATTGCAACACTACCGCTGAAGAAATTGCAGCTAATTCTTTTTACTCAATGAACTATCCCATCATGTCATGTAGGGTCACCATCTTTGGAAACTGCTTCATTGTGATGACGGGAGGAAAAGGCAAATGAGAATATGCACTTTTTCCACATTTTTCGAAACAGGCATGTCTTGTAAATGATTTAACTTCATTGTATTTAATACTAAATGAAGTTTGGCAAATGATTCAATGAGCCAAACAAATACATCACGAGTTAACTGATTTTTGAATTTATTCACTCAAGCCACGAATGTCTAGACCAGTGTTCTGCAACCGTTTTCTACTCGCGGCACATCTATGACTCGACATGACTCAACACGGCACACCAAAATGTTATTGCCCTCAATAACGTATGATATGAATATGATACTATTAATAGAATTTCGTAATGCCATAAGCCACAAAATTTTGGCATTGGTTTATGGCATTACTCACAAAACTCAATTATGTTGAGTTTTGTGAGTTACACTAGGTGGACACCGATGGCTGTGTACTATGCCGGACCAGAGTCAAGGCATAGTAACTTCAAAAAGAAAAAAGACAAAAATTAAATAAGCGTGTCATTGTGTGTGTGTATTCAGGAATTTCCTAACAATATGACATGTATTCAATATAGAGGCCTTCTGTAGTGTGATGTATGTTTCCATTCTAATGTTCCCAGGCTTTGTGTAGCGTTTGTGGTATGACACCTGTAGAGGAGAGAACGACAAGTACAATAAGCACCCCTATCCATCCTCCACAGATGCCTTATTTCCTGGGCAAGTTCCTTGTACTTGCTGATTTTTTCACTGCATGTGTTTTGTACGTTGTGAGTGTTTGGAACGGATATGTCTATAATGTATGTGATTTTATTGTGTTTGTCAATGAGTGTGATGTCTGGTCTGTTGTGGTAAATTATTTTATCTGTGATTATGGCTCTGTCGTAGTACATTTTGTGCGTGTTGTTTTCCAATACCATCTGTTGAATGTATTTGTAGTATGGTTTGTGGATGTCTAATAATTTGTTTCTTTGCAAGCTCTTGGTGTATTATATTTGCTACTTGATTATGTCTGTGTAAATTACAGGGCTGTGGAGTCGCGTAAAAATCTACCGACTTCGACTTTTCCATATCCTCCGACTCCGGCTAAAGCACCAAAACTCCACGACTCCGACTCCGACTCAACAGCCCTGCCAGGGCTGTGGAAGTCGCGTAAAAATCTACCGACTCCAACTCCGACTTTTCCTTATCATCCGACTCCGACTCCGACTCAACAGCCCTGCCAGGGCTGTGGAAGTCGCGTAAAAATCTACCAACTCCGACTCCAACATCAAAACTCCACGACTCCGACTCCACAGCCCTGGTAAATTATGTCTGTACCAAGAGCTTGCAGCCAGAAGTGATGTGTTGCATAGTTTCTGGCATGATGTGACATTTTCTGCAAGTGTCATTTGTGAGTGTTGTATCTTTGAGTATGTGTTTTGTGTAGTTTTTAGTATTTATGACCTTATCCTGTATGGCAATCATAAATCCTTCCATCTCCCGAAAGGGGCATCCCGAGCTAACCAGCTATTTGATGCAGTTTTGTCAACAAAATCCTGGGCTAGGTCATAGGGATGTCTGCCATAGAGTGTTTTTTTTGAACCCACGATTGCTTAAGTGTCTATGCTTTTTATATGTTCTGTCTTGTCCATATGATGCAAATGTAAGTTTAATAGTGATTTTATTTGAGTCTGCTAGACTTATTGCGTTATGTAACTGTGATGTTTCTTGCTTTTGTAGAAAAAAACTCGCAGTGCTCTTTTAGTGAAGGTTAACTATATCAATCAGACCACATCTGTCATCTTTACATGGAAGGGTTAATCTTTCTATGGCAGATTTAGGATGATGATGTTTATGCTTAGTAAGTGTTATTTTTGTTTTCATTTGGAGTTGCTCAAGATCTGTGTGAGTCCAATGTATAACTCCAAAAGAATAAGTAAGTACTGGGACGACATATGTGTTTATTGCTTTAACATCATTTTATTTCATTAGTGAATGAAATAAAAGCATAAGAAACACAACAACTGCGATAAAAATATATAAATAAAACTTGAAATTAGTAGAATATGTAAAAGTTCACGTTACACCTTTCACCTTGTGAC